TATCAAGAAAGTCACTAGACTCAAGATTTCCTGTCACACTGTTCCAATCAATTTGTCTAAAGTTAAAATCTCCCATTAACACAACATTTTCATATCTAGACGCCTTATGAATTTCGTCCCATAACAGCTGACTGCACTCCCTATCAGCTTAGAATTCATTTGCTACTCTGTCAGTGTCAGGTCTCCAAGACTAAAAATAGTATTAATCAAGAGCAAAACATGGAAGGTTCATACAGCGCTGTCCAGGACTGTGAAGATAGTCGTAAGATGTTACCATGGATACTGCGCTACCTTCACATCATCCACAGACTGCAGTGTGAATGTAATCGGGTAGATCTCTAGAAGAGGCTGGGCTCTCCTAATACCTAAACATGTCTCCTAATACCTGGGCAAGTCTCCTAAAACCTGAACAAGTCTCCTAAAACCTAAACAAGTCTCCTAATACCTGAACAAGTCTCCTAATACCTGGACAAGTCTTCTAATACCTGGACAAGTCTTCTAATACTTGAACAAGTCTCCTAATACCTGGACAAGTCTTCTAATACCTGGACAAGTCTTCTAATACCTGGACAAGTCTCTATCTTCACTGCCCCCCTTCCTCCTATCTTCTCTGTCCTCCTGTCTTCTCCCGTAACCCCTTTTACCCTTTTCCCCATATCTAAAGAATTGTTGAAATCATGAAATTTCTGAGATAGGTTAGGTTAATTATGTTAGGTTAAATGATGAAAATTTTAGCAAGGTCAGGATGAGTGTTACATTAGACACAAAAAAAATTGATGTTAGTGAAAATTTAATTGGGGGGGAATTTTTAATTCATTATTTTTTATAAAGCTTCAGGATAAAGCTTTAGTGAAAAAATCAGAGTTTTGGGTACAAAAAAATTATTTTAGTGAAAAATTTAAAGTTTTACTTAAATTTTTAGCTTCAGAAAAAATATTTAAATATTCAATTTTTTTTTACAAATTTTCTTATTTTGTTGAATGAGACTTTTAGATAATGAGAAAATGGATTTACAGTGTTTATTTTCGGTAGAAAGCCATGGAAGAACGTTAAGGAGGCTAAACTGTCCGCGGTGGTTGAACTCGTAGGTGTAGGTGGTAGCCACCTGGGAGTGTAACCTCGAGGTGTGGTGAACACCTACCTTGAAGAGACGGTCACTCATCATCTGTAACAAGATGAAGAGTGTTACTGCAAGTTAATTATGTTATTGGTTCTGTTCACCAGTTCTCTGGTGCAGCTGATAATGCAGCTGCTGTCATACAGACTGATGGCTCTCATAAAGAAATTGGAGCACGCATCAATAACTGGCCCTCTACCCTTCAATCTGAACTGTTTGCAATACCCCTTGCACTCAAATGCGTTCATGTATCTAAGGTTGACACTTTAATTGTGAGTCTCTATCATCCATAAATGCTCTCAACTGTGGCATGCTTGTGTCAGAAACCAGACACAGGTATGGTTGAACTGTGGACAGTGGACTCAGAGTACACCTGTGGATTTCATCTCACACTGCATGAGACGGAATGATGCATGATAGAACTGATGAATTGGCTAAGTTATTCCTTCAAACAGGGAATAGATTACAATCTTTGGTTGCCATTCAGCAGTTTGAGAACAATACAAAGAGAACTTCAACTGAACTTTAATAACCTAATAGTGGGGGAGACTGATACCAGTCAGTCCATCTATCATCACCCTATCATGCGGGAGGAGCCACATGTCTGCATCCAACAGAATAAGCAGACTCTTGGATGTCACTGCTACCCGGCTCCAGCTGGGTTACCAGTATCTCTGGCAGAGAAAGAAAACCGTAGGTCACCACCACCAGATGTAGACCAAACGAAATGTAAACTTTGCCAGATGGACTATTGTCACACCCTGCGTCATTATGTACTGGAGTGCGATAAATTAATGAATTCAGAGACAACTCACTCAGAAATGCTCAAGAAATGTCAAAGTATTTTATCCAGAGTGGTATATTACCCACCGTACTGGGAAAATACCCTGACTTTGCTCACTGTAAATATAGCATTACTAATTTGTATAGTATGTATGTGTGCGTGTGTACTGTAACAAGGTGATGGTTGTTTCTGCAAATGAAGCGAGGTGAAGATTGTTACTACTGCTGTAACGAGGTGAAAGTTGTTAATGCAGCTGTAACAAGGTGAAGGTAGTTGACCTAAATGTAAGTAGAAGGAGCAAGGTGTACTTTATATATATATATATATATATATATATATATATATATATATATATATATATATATATATATATATATATATATATATATATATATATAACTGACCAATTTTACTTATGTATATATATATATGTATATATATATATATATATATATATATATATATATATATATATATGCAAAACAACCACTCTGAAAGAATAGAGAAATTCCAAGCGCTTTCGTGACTACTCACATTATCAAGGAGCTATCATAGTTCCTTGATAATGTGAGTAGTCACAAAAGCGCTTGGAATTTCTCTATTCTTTCAGAGTGGTTGTTTTGCATATTCTGAAATCACCTGTTTACTGTGATCTTATTGCATATTATATATATATATATATATATATATATATATATATATATATATATATATATATATATAAAGTAAAATTGATCAATTAGCAAGAACTCATTTAAAATTAAGTCCTTTTAAAAATTTTCTCTTATACGTTTAAAGATATATTGTTTTGCATTATTGTTAATGTAAAAGTTAATATTTTTGTACCAAAAGAACCTTAGAAAACTTACCTAACCATATTATAAAGAAACAATGAAATATTTTTCTTCGTTAGGTTGAGAATGATTTTCGCAAAATTATTTCATGCACAATTTTTTGCTTGCCTTATTCGGAAAGAAGAGCGTTGCTTAAAGATTTTAACTTGTCGAATAGAATATCTTAAATTCTTCCCAAATTTTATTTATACACGAATCTAATTTATTCCTAAAGCAATATTCATATAAATTTCAAAACTATTTTTTATAAACCTTGATTTTATTATATTTTTCTCAACTATAGACTTGCTTGATACAACTTTCTCAGTCCTTTGAAAATCAATGGATGGTTAAAATCTCTCACTTGAATAAAGTAGCATTAGATTGTCCAGTTTAATGTATATTTATGTTGTGATGTAATCTTAGTTCAAGAGTTTTCCCAGTTTGACCGTAGTAAACTTTATTACATTTTCATACACAGCCGTCAGCTGTGTCTACAAGATTCCCTGTATGAGAATGTGACGGCTGTGTTTGTGTGTGTGTGTAGTGTTGTGTGTGTGTGTTTGTGTGATGTGTGAGTGTGTGTGTGTGTGTGCTGTGTGTGTGTGAGTGTGTGTGGTGTGTGTGTGTGTGAGAGTGTGTGTGTGTGTGTGTGTGTGTGTGTGTGTGTGTGGTGTGTGTGTGTGTGTGTGTGTGTGTGTGAGAGTGTGAGTGTATGTGTGTGTGTGTGTGTGTGTGTGTGTGTGTGTGTGTGTGTGTGTGTGTGTGTGTTGTGTGTGTGTGTGTGTGTGTGTGTGTGTGTGTGTGTGTGTGTGTGTGTGTGTGAGAGTGTGAGTGTATGTGTGTGTGTGTGTGTGTTTGTGTGATGTGTGTGTGTGTGTGTGTGTGTGTGTGTGTGTGTGTGTGTGTGTGTGTGTGTGTGTGTGTGTGTGTGTGTGTGTGTGAGAGTGTGAGTGTATGTGTGTGTGGGGTGTGTGTGTGTGTGTGTGTGTGTGTGTGTGTGTGTGTGTGTGTGTGTGTGTGTGTGTGTGTGTGTGTGTGTTGTAGTGTGAGTTGTGATTTTGTATGTGTGTGTGGTGTGTGTGTGTGTGTGTGTGTTTTGTGTGTGTGTGTGTGTGTGTGTTTTGTGTGTGAGAGTGTGAGTGTATGTGTGTGTTGTGTGTGTGTGTGTGTGTGTGTGTGTGTGAGCGTTATGTGTGTGTGTGTGGGGTGTGTGTGAGCGTATGTGTTGTGTTTGTGTGTGTGTGTGTGTGTGTGTGTGTGTTGTGTGTGTGTGAGAGTGTGAGTGTATGTGTGTGTGTGTGTGTGTGTGTGTGTGTGTGTGTGTGTGTGTGTGTGTGTGTGTGTGTGTGTGGTGTGAGTGTATGTGTGTGTGTGTGTGTGTGTGTGTGTGTGTGTGTGTGTGTGTGTGTGTGTGTGTGTGTGTGTGTGTGTGTGAGTGTGAGTGTATGTGTGTGTGTGTGTGTGTGTGTGTGTGTGTGTGTGTGTGTGTGAGAGTGTGAGTGTATGTGTGTGTTTGTGTGTGTGTGTGTGTGTGTGTGTGTGTGTGTGTGAGCGTATGTGTGTGTGTGTGTGTGTGTGTGAGCGTATGTGTGTGTTTGTGTTGTGTGTGTGTGTGTGTGTGTGTGTGTGTGTGTGTGTGTGTGTGTGTGTGTGTGTGTGTGTGTGTGTGTGTGTGTGTGTGTGGTGTGTGTGTGAGTGCCTGCGTGTGCGCATATATATAAGGTAATGATTCTCAAGACCTTGGATTGCAAAGAACATCCTAACATTTTCTACAGTATGTTTTCACGTCTTGTTTAAATTAGTGTGTATGATTATTTAGACCAGAGTGTACTTAGAAAAAAACTGATGTTACTCTCGGTTTATCTATATCCATTGAGTCAAGGTTCACAGAACTGCATCAAGACTCTGACATATTCACGAGTGCAAATCACCCATGAATATGCTTAAAATAAGAACCATTCACCTGTAGCAATCATTGTAAAGCAACCATGATTCTCGTGAACCAGTTAAGTTTAGAATCATTCACCTGAAACCCATCAAGTTTGACTCACAGATCAGTTTCACAGATCAGCTTCAATCAAAGCATCATATAGTCAGCTATTAATCACAACTCACCTGGAACATGTTTGGCATTAATTCCAACTCTTTTAAAAGCGTTTAAATTTTAATAACACCTCACATAAAGCTAATTAACAGAAATGACAATTCTTCTCTTAGCAGTCATTGCTAACTTGTAACTATTCAAGTTTCAGTCATCAATCACCTGGTTGAACTGTTCAGTGTAGTCCACTCCTGGGTTAACTCCCCCCAGGTAGTGTTGGAAGATCTTGTTGGCCAAGTCAACCGGGTTGTCTTCGTGTGCTCCGATCTCCAGGATGGCCACAGAGGCCTCTGAGAGCTTCTCGTTGAGGCTCGCGAGAACCGACTCATTTTCAGTCATTTCTGTAGAGATCGGGTCAGATTTTTTTACACAGATAAATTTTACAGGCAAAGAGCTGTTATCGTACCTCAGCTCATTTAAAAGCCCAGCTCTATCTACGGCGTACTACCATCTCCCAGGATGCTACCCACAACAGACGATCAACACTGCTAGATGAACAAGGGGCAGCAGGTATGAGGAAATTTACTTAACGTTTCCATATTTCTTGTGGTAAAGGCAGAAAATGGTGCAGATTTTACTGCTCGTGAAAAAAGTACAAATGGGAAGTTTCCGTGCAACCTGTCCGCCTCAGCAGATGTCGGAAACTTTACTGTGAGTTAAGACAGTTGGTAAAGTGACTAAGACCCTATAATATAAACTGTGTTTTAGTGGTCCTTATACTTCCTCTGTTCTCGCATCAAAATACAGTCTCGCCTGTATTGAATTTAACCATTTAACGTATTTGTAATTTTATAAATTTAATTATTATAACGTTAACTTAATTTAATCTCAACCAACGAAAGTTAAAAAAAGTGAATATAAAAAACTGAAGCACTTAAAAATAATAAAATAAAATTGAAAATAGAAAGTGAGAGGAGGAGAGAGCATTATACACACGGACGATCATAACAAACTTAACAGCAACCTTAATCTTCAAGGTCAGTATAAAAACTGAAGTAGAGATTTAGCATTAGAACACATGGAAGAACAGTGACCAGGAGACTGACCTTTCAGGAACTAAAGCAAAGTTAGTTAATTCATTCATTCTCTCTCTCTCTCTCTCTGACCTATAGAGAACATGGCTGCCTCATCAGTTGTGACTCCACTGATGATAGGTACATTGTTTTGCCTGCCCTCCTTCAGTGTCTTCGCCGGTTCCTCCACCAGGAAGTCCCCGTCCACCCGCGGTCCCAAATTCACTAGAGGAAACCTGTGAAACACCTGTCAAGGCAGGGAGCGATTAGTAAACACGGGAAGGAGGGAGAAATCACAGACGAGAATATATAAATAAATATATATTATATATATATATATATATATATAAATATATATATATATATATATATATATATATATATATATATATATATATATATATTTATTATTATACACACTGGCCGATTCCCACCAAGGCAGGGTGGCCCGAAAAAGAAAAACTTTCACCATCATTCACTCCATCACTGTCTTGCCAGAAGGGTGCTTTACACTACAGTTTTTAAACTGCAACATTAACACCCCTCCTTCAGAGTGCAGGCACTGTACTTCCCATCTCCAGGACTCAAGTCCGGCCTGCCGGTTTCCCTGAATCCCTTCATAAATGTTACTTTGCTCACACTCCAACAGCACGTCAAGTATTAAAAACCATTTGTCTCCATTCACTCCTATCAAACACGCTCACGCATGCCTGCTGGAAGTCCAAGCCCCTCGCACACAAAACCTCCTTTACCCCCTCCCTCCAACCCTTCCTAGGCCGACCCCTACCCCGCCTTCCTTCCACTACAGACTGATACACTCTTGAAGTCATATATATATATATATATATATATAATATGCAATAAGATCACAGTAAACAGGTGATTTCAAAATATGCAAAACAACCACTCTGAAAGAATAGAGAAATTCCAAGCGCTTTCGTGACTACTCACATTATCATTATCCTTGATAATGTGAGTAGTCACGAAAGCGCTTGGAATTTCTCTATTCTTTCAGAGTGGTTGTTTTGCATATATATATATATATATATATATATATATATATATATATATATTAAAATATATAATATAAAATATATATAAATATAATATATATAAAAAACATACATACAACAACAACATACAACATAATACATTATATAAATTCGTGCCGAATATGTAAAACGGGTAAATTAGCAAGAATCTTTTTAAAATTTAAGTCCTTTCAAAAAATTTTCTTTTATATTTTTTAAAGATATATTTTTTCATTAATTTGATGAAAAATTTATAATTTTGCACCAAAAGGAACTTAGAAAACTTCCTAACCTTTTTATAAAAAGCGCAATTTATTTTAGCCAAACCCACAAATATATTTTAAATACTTACAAAAATTTAATACAAACAAACACAATCAAAGATATTTTTTTTTCGTTAGGATCAGAATGATTTTTGGGGAAATTATTGCATACAAAATTTTCACTTGTCCTATAGGCAAATGGCTTTTCATTTAAGCCAAGATCGCAATTTTTCCTATTCGGCACGACATAAAAATTATATATAAAATAAATATATATATATATAATATAATATAAATAAATATAAAAATATATATAAAAAATTAATGTTAATGAATGTAAGGACCTTTGAACCCAAATGAAGAGTAAATTTGGGAAAGGGGCTTTAAAGCAAAGTAGAGAAACTTTTTGAGAGGGGTTTGGGAGGGAAAATTTGGGGTGCCAGGTGTAAATGAAAATGGGAAACCCTTTTATTGAACTTTGTATAGAAAGGGGGGTTTTTAAAAGGGAATACAATTTTAAGAAAAAAGGATAAAAAAGTATACACGATAGAGGGGCGAAATGACAGTAGTTTTTGGATTATGTATTGGGAGATAAAAACTGTTTTAGAGACTTCAGGGTGACATGTTTATAGAGGGGCCACAGATATATCAGATCACTTTCAGTTTTAGCTACACTAGAGTAAAAGGAGAGGGGTACAAGGAGAATAGAAGCATCAGGAAAGAGAGGTGAAGGTTTATAAACAAAAAAGGGGGCGTTAGGGAAGATAAAAACAGCTTTTTGGGAGGAAGATGGGCTAATGAAGCATAGGCAAGGGGGTCGAAGGGGTTTGGGGTATTTTAAAAAATGTAGTGTTAGAGTTTAGCAAAGTTTGGGGTTTACGGGAAAGTGGGGCGGGAGGGAAGAGGAGCGTTTGGGTGGAAGATGATTAAAGAGAGTAAAAAGGGGAAAAAATTAGCAAGAGAAGTTTTACAAAGTAAAGTGATGCAAGGGGGGAAAGATATATGGAGAAAAAGAGAGAATTTAAGAGAGGGGAAGCAATTAAAAAAGAGAGCAAAGGGAAGAGTGGGTGAAAAGTTTTCACAAATTTTGTTGAAAATAAGAAAAAGTTTTGGAGTGAGTTTAAAACAAGTTAAGAAAGCCTAGAGAAAAATGGATTTGTCATTAAAAAAGAGAGGAGATTTTTTTAAAGGGAGATTTTAGAGGTTTGGGAAGAGGGAAGGAATATTTTGGGGGGAATTTGTTAAATTTGATGAAGATAGGGAAGCGTGTTTCGTGTTAGGGGAAGGGGGAATAACATCTTGTAGGGGTGAAAGAGCCATTGTGATGTGGGGGGAAATTTGTGAGGCGTAGGTAAAATGAAAGGGGGGAAGGCAGCCCGGTTGATGGGATAAAGATAGAAATGTTAAAAGCAAAGGGGGGGGATATAGTTTTGGGTGGGTTTGGGGCAATTATTTAATAAATGTATGGAAGAGGGGGAAGGGGACCTAGGGGGTTGGCAAGACATGCTAGTTCCTTTGTATAAAGGAAAGGGATAAAAGAGATGCAAAAATTATAGGGGGATAAGTCTGTTATGTACCTGGAAAAATGTATGGTAGATTTATAAATTAAAGAAAAAGAGTAAACGGGGAATAATAGCAATGAACAAGGAGGGTTTAGGGAAAGGGAGGGGGTGTGTGGGAACCAGGGGTTTAAAGTGAAACATAAATGAACAGTATTTTTGATAAGGCTAAAAAGGCTTTGTGGCATTTATGGATTTTGGAAAAAACGATGACAGGGGGGAAGGGGGGGAATGGGCAGATGTTGCAAGTGTATGGTGTAGGGGGTAGGTTACTGAAAGCAGTGAAGAGTTTTTACGAGGATAGTGAGGCTCAAGTTAGAGTATGTAGGAAAGAGGGAAATTTTTTCCCAGTAAAAGTAGGCCTTAGACAAGGATGTGTGATGTCACCGTGGTTGTTTAATATATTTATAGATGGGGTTGTAAGAGAAGTAAATGCGAGGGTCTTGGCAAGAGGCGTGGAGTTAAAAGATAAAGAATCACACACAAAGTGGGAGTTGTCACAGCTGCTCTTTGCTGATGACACTGTGCTCTTGGGAGATTCTGAAGAGAAGTTGCAGAGATTGGTGGATGAATTTGGTAGGGTGTGCAAAAGAAGAAAATTAAAGGTGAATACAGGAAAGAGTAAGGTTATGAGGATAACAAAAAGATTAGGTGATGAAAGATTGAATATCAGATTGGAGGGAGAGAGTATGGAGGAGGTGAACGTATTCAGATATTTGGGAGTGGACGTGTCAGCGGATGGGTCTATGAAAGATGAGGTGAATCATAGAATTGATGAGGGAAAAAGAGTGAGTGGTGCACTTAGGAGTCTGTGGAGACAAAGAACTTTGTCCTTGGAGGCAAAGAGGGGAATGTATGAGAGTATAGTTTTACCAACGCTCTTATAATGGGTGTGAAGCGTGGGTGATGAATGTTGCAGCGAGGAGAAGGCTGGAGGCAGTGGAGATGTCATGTCTGAGGGCACTGTGTGGTGTGAATATAATGCAGAGAATTCGTAGTTTGGAAGTTAGGAGGAGGTGCGGGATTACCAAAACTGTTGTCCAGAGGGCTGAGGAAGGGTTGTTGAGGTGGTTCGGACATGTAGAGAGAATGGAGCGAAACAGAATGACTTCAAGAGTGTATCAGTCTGTAGTGGAAGGAAGGCGGGGTAGGGGTCGGCCTAGGAAGGGTTGGAGGGAGGGGGTAAAGGAGGTTTTGTGTGCGAGGGCTTGGACTTCCAGCAGGCATGCGTGAGCGTGTTTGATAGGAGTGAATGGAGACAAATGGTTTTTAATACTTGACGTGCTGTTGGAGTGTGAGCAAAGTAACATTTATGAAGGGATTCAGGGAAACCGGCAGGCCGGACTTGAGTCCTGGAGATGGGAAGTACAGTGCCTGCACTCTGAAGGAGGGGTGTTAATGTTGCAGTTTAAAAAACTGTAAGTGTAAAGCACCCTTCTGTCAAGACAGTGATGGAGTGAATGATGGTGAAAGTTTTTCTTTTCGGGCCACCCTGCCTTGGTGGGAATCGCCGGTGTGATAATAAAAAATAAAATAATAATATATATATATATATATAATATATATAATATATATATAAAAATATATATATATATATATAAAAATATATAAAATATATATATAACATAATTTACCCTCTTTATGGGGTGTTGTGGAACGGCCAATGCGTAAATAAAAAAAAATACATGATGTCCATTCAGCTAAGAGTAGAAAATCAACATTAGATCCTGATTCATTATATATAAAATTTGTCTGCGTCCGCATTAAGCAATTAATACAAGAGAGAATGTAATCAAATTACAACAAGCAGCCAAATGCCACAGCTTACAAGGAAGTCCAACACAACAGAAGCGAGTTTGTCTGCGTCTGCCCGCTGGAGACAGCCCAAGAGGCCGTGACTGTCCTCCAGCTCCCCACATCCTACGGTCCGACCGGCGTGAAGGGCCAGATCCCGACGAGACTTGGAGTGCGCCCACGGGTTGAGGGCAGACCCAGACTGCATGATGGCCCGGGAGTAGAGACCTACGATGGACAGTCGCAGAGAGGGTGAAAAGACACCAATAAAACTATTATATTCATGGAGTCGCGCTTAACCCTTAAGGGTTATTCAGTTCCTGGGAAATAGGAATCAATCAAGGTTGATTTCTTAAAAAAAAAAAAAAAAAAAAATAGCTACAAAACCTACGATCAACAGCATCTCACAAGCATCAAGGCTGAAAATGATGAATGGGGCCAAGACTTCTGTGAATTTTTAAGATGGCAAAGAAGAGGGCTTTATTATAATGAAGTATTGTTGTAGATAATGCTTTTTCATTTTTGTGTGTGTAAACAAGCCACGAAGCTGCTACTGACCTCGGGACTTGGACGACAATAGGTGGTAGCTGACGGAAGCAGCGCCGGCGCTCTCTCCGAAGATGGTGACCTTCTGTGGATCACCACCGAAGTGGTGGATGTTCCTTTGCACCCACTGCAGTGCCAGGACCTGGTCCAGCAGCCCGAAGTTGCCAGGGATAGTGTCGTCCTCCGTGGAGAGGAAGCCTGGTGATACAGACAGTGGCAGCTACTTCAGAACCTGTGGGCGAACTATTACTGATGCTGTAATAATGTTGGTAGAATTACCAACAATATCTTAGATAGAACGACACATGTGCAACTGATGTGACATTTTTATTATTGAAAATATAAAATGTCGCATTAGTTGCACATGTGTTCTTTTACCTATTACTAATGCTGGTTTCGTATACTAATTGTTTTCATTTACGAACTTGCATATGCCTCCCTGATAATATTAAGAGCAAAAGAGCTCAGCTATCATACTCTAGACCTATTGTGGGTGGCACCATATCGCAGTTGGTCATGATCCTCATCTCCACTCCTCAATCCTTCCTTCATATAATCTTCTAAATGTAAAAATTAAAAAAGTCCTCCTTATTCAAAAAGGAAAATTTAAAGATTAATTTTCATTCTTAACTTTATTAATTTTAGCTGTTCAAAAGTCTGTTTAAGAAGCAACTCGCAACACCACATAAAGTGAGGACACATTTAGTGAGATTTTTTTCTTACACTGCTTCATGTTGTAAACCATTCCTTATTTTTTGTTCCGAATTCGCGCCCCTTTCTCCCTGCCCCCTAGAAATTACTAACGCCCCAATAGGGAAACGAGTTTCAACCCCATCCACCTCCCAGTTAAGAACTGCTGCACTAGCAATATCTCAATGCCCTCTACAGTCAACCGCCATCAACACAACCACTTTCACTTTTGCCAACGCTACCAGCAGAAAGCCTCTCCTAGCGTTCCTAGATGACACTGTAGGACCACTAACAGGTCTCTCATAACTTCCTCAGATGGTACTGCAGCACCACCAACAGGTCTCTCATAACTTCCTCAGATGGTACTGCAGCACCACCAGCAGGAGGCTTCATTTAGTCCCCCAGATGGCCCTGTAGCACCACCAGCAGGAAGCCTCTCCTAGCACCCTCAGATGGTACTGTAGCACCACTAATAGGTCTCTCCTAGCACCCCAAGATGGATCTGTATCACCACCAGCAGGTCTCTCCAAGCACCACCAGATGGCTCTGTAGCACCACTAGCAGGTCTTTTCTAGCACCATCAGATGGTTTTGCAGGGCCATCAGCAGGTCTCTCCTAGCACCTCCAGATGCCACTGTAGCACAAGCAGCAGGTCTCTTCTATCATCCTCATATGGCCCTGTAGCACCACCAACAGGTCTCTCCTAGCACCCCCAGACGGCATTATAGCACCACCATGTCTCTCCTAGCACCTCCGGGTAGCTCTGTAGCACCTCCAGTGAAAGGCCTCATTTAGTCTCCCAGATGGTATTGCAGCAGCACAAGCAGGTTTAACCTAACACCCCGCAAGTGGTATTGCAGCACCACTACCTAGAACCTTCACTTAGCACCACCACCAACAAGAACCCCTCACCTAGCACTCCCAAGCGGTACTGCATCACCACCAGTATCATGTCGTGGTTGAGAAGGGCGTTGGGACCGGACCCGCTGGCGCTCCCGCAGAAGAAGGCGCCGCCGTGGATGAAGACCATCACAGGCAAGTCCCTCCTGCCGCTGCCAGGCTCCTGCAACACCACACTTTCTTACAACGCAAAACAAACAGGCCAAACGAGAACGTTTTTCTTTATATTCTTAAGGTGGGGTTAAAGTTTTGTATAGCATGCTATAAGGGTGCGTAAACAAGGTTAATAGTATGACGTAAGGTGTGATGTGTGTGTGTGTGTGAAAAGTAAAGTGTGCATGGAGTTAATTATAGTAACGAAAAAAGAAATTATGTTCCGCCTCCCCTCAGAACCTTGAACGTGGCGTACTTGGTATACTTGCACCAAGGTCATGAAGATAGACTAAACTCACCGAAGGCGTAAACACACTGAGGTAGAGACAATCCTCGGAGCCGTGCACTTCTTTCGTTTTTGTTAACATGGTCATAAAGGTCGGTTGTAAGCAAAGTGGGGGTTCAGACGAGCCATCCCGAACACCGTCCCACCTGGAACTGGCCACGGGTGCCTGCAGAGAGAAGTGACTTTACCTCAAAGCACAAAGGTTTAGAAAGGCATAGTACATTAAAACCTTAAATGGGATGTTCAGTATTCAACGAAGTGGATCAGTAAGCTAGCGGATGGTCTCTATTATATAATCAAAAGCTCTTACGTAAACCAAAAACAAAAACAAAAAAATAAAAACTGAAAAATAAATTCTCAACACTTCATTACCATCATTACTACAGTGGTAGTAATGCTTCAGTCATCAGTAAACACGACACATACGTGTTGAAGTTAAACAAAATCACTGAAACACCTTAAAAAATGACAAAAATATTATAAGCAACCAAGAAGTGAAATTCAAAGAATATAGAAAACCCATGAACATCTGTTCTTGTGGACACTATTATTCACCGCATAATGACAGAGTTAAATGTTCTATGTTCTCCTCCATGTTCTCAAGAACTCTGAGTATTTGTAGCCCAGAGTTCATAGATAAATGATTAATAAAGATATGTGAAACAATATGTAGTATAAAATATTCGAAATATTCTATTAAAAATATCTTCAAAAATTGCTAGAATTACAATTTACAACCCAAGAAAGGGCAAGGAACCATAATGTTATATACATATATATATTTATTTTTTATTTTTTTTTATTATCACACCGGCCGATTCCCACCAAGGCAGGGTGGCCCGAAAAAGAAAAACTTTCACCATCATTCACTCCATCACTGTCTTGCCAGAAGGGTGCTTTACACTACAGTTTTTAAACTGCAACATTAACACCCCTCCTTCAGAGTGCAGGCACTGTACTTCCCATCTCCAGGACTCAAGTCCGGCCTGCCGGTTTCCCTGAATCCCTTCATAAATGTTACTTTGCTCACACTCCAACAGCACGTCAAGTATTAAAAACCATTTGTCTCCATTCACTCCTATCAAACACGCTCACGCATGCCTGCTGGAAGTCCAAGCCCCCTCGCACACAAAACCTCCTTACCCCCTCCCTCCAACCCTTCCTAGGCCGACCCCTACCCCGCCTTCCTTCCACTACAGACTGATACACTCTTGAAGTCATTCTGTTTCGCTCCATCTCTCTACATGTCCGAACCACCTCAACAACCCTTCCTCAGCCCTCTGGACAACAGTTTTGGTAATCCCGCACCTCCTCCTAACTTCCAAACTACAATTCTCTGCATTATATTCACACCACACATTGCCCTCAGACATGACATCTCCACTGCCTCCAGCCTTCTCCTCGCTGCAACATTCATCACCCACGCTTCACACCCATATAAGAGCGTTGGTAAAACTATACTCTCATACATTCCCCTCTTTGCCTCCAAGGACAAAGTTCTTTGTCTCCACAGACTCCTAAGTGCACCACTCACTCTTTTTTCCCTCATCAATTCTATGATTCACCTCATCTTTCATAGACCCACCCCGCTGACACGTCCACTCCCAAATATCTGAATACTTTCCCACCTCCTCCATACTCTCTCCCCCAATCTGATATTCAATCTTTCATCACCTAATCTTTTGTTATCCTCATAACCTTACTCTTTCCGGTATTCACCTTTAATTTTCTTCTTTTGCACACCCTACCAAATTCATCCACCAATCTCTGCAACTCTCTTCAGAATCTCCCAAGAGCACAGTGTCATCAGCAAAGAGCAGCTGTGACAACTCCCACTTTTGTGTGTGATTCTTTTTCTTTAACTCCACGCCTCTTGCCAAGACCCCGCATTTACTTCTCTTACAACCCCATCTATAAATATATTAAACAACCACGGTGACATCACACATCCTTGTCTAAGGCCTACTTTTACTGGGGAAAAAATTTCCCTCTTTCCTACATAACTCTAACTTTAGCCTCACAAACCTCGTAAAAACTCTTCACTGCTTTCAGTAACCTACCTCCTACACCATACACTTGGGAACATCTGCCCCCATTGCCCCCCTATCCCCCCCTGTCATACCCTTTTCCAAATCCATAAATGCCACAAAGACCTCTTTAGCCTTTATCTAAATACTGTTCACTTAATTTTTCCCAACTGTAAACACCTGGTCCACACAACCCCCTACCCTTTCCTAAAGCCTCCTTGTTCATCTGCTATCCTATTCTCCGTCTTACTCTTAATTCTTTCAATTATAACTCTACCATACACTTTACCAGGTACACCAACAGACTTATCCCCCTAAAATTTTTTGCACTCTCTTTTATCCCCTTTGCCTTTTAAACAAAGGAACTATGCATGCTCCTCCCAATCCCTAGGTACCTTACCCTCTTCCATACATTTTTAAATAATTGCACCAACCACTCCAAAACTATATCCCCACCTGTTTTTAAAACATTTCTATCTTTATCCCATCAATCCCGGCTGCCTTACCCCCTTTCTTTTTACCTACTGCCTAAACGAACTTCCCCCACACTCACAACTGGCTCTTCCTCACTCCTACAAGATGTTTATTCCTCCTTGCCCTATACACGAAATCACAGCTTCCCTATCTTCATCAACATTTAACAATTCCTCAAAATATTCCTTCCATCTTCCCCAAAACCTCTAACTCTCCATTTAATAACTCTCCTCTCCTATTTTTAACTGACAAATCCATTTTTTTCTCTAGGGTTTCTTAACTTGTTAATCTCACTCCAAAACTTTTTCTTATTTCAACAAAAATTTGTTGATAACATCTCACCCACCTCTCATTTCCTCTCTTTTTACCATTGCTTCACCACTCTCTTAAACTTCTCTTTTTCTCCATATACTCTTCCCTCCTTGCATCACTTCTAAATTTGTAAAAACTTCTCATAGCAACTTTTTCTCCCTTACTACTCTCTTTTTCATCATCATTCCACCAATCGCTCCTCTTCCCTCCTGCACCCACTTTCCTGTAACCACAAACTTCTGCTGAACACTCTAAAAACTACATTTTTAAACCTACCCCATACCTCTTCGACCCCATTGCCTATGCTCTCATTAGCCCATCTATCCTCCAATAGCTGTTTATATCTTACCCTAACTGCCTCCTCTTTTAGTTTATAAACCTTCACCTCTCTCTCCCTGATGCTTCTATTTTCCCTTGTATCCCATCTACCTTTTACTCTCAGTGTAGCTACAACTAGAAAGTGATCTGATATATCTGTGGCCCCTCTATAAACATGTACATCCTGAAGTTCTACTCAACAGTCTTTTATCTACCAATACAAATCCAACAAACTACTGTCTTTTTCGCCCTACATCAAATCGTGTATACTTATTTTTTCCTCTTTTTCTTAAAATATGTATTACCTATAACTAAACCCCTTTCTATACAAAGTTCAATCAAAGGGCTCCCATTATCATTTACACCTGGCACCCCAAACTTACCTACCACACCCTCTCTAAAATTTTTCTCCTACTTTAGCATTCAAGTCCCCTACCACAATTACTCTCTCACTTGGTTCAAAGGCTCCTATACATTCACTTAGCATCTCCCAAAATCCTCTCTCTCCTCTGCATTCCTCTCTTCTCCAGGTGCATAAAACGCTTATTATGACCCACTTCTCGCATCCAACCTTTACTTTAATCCACATAATTCTTAAATTTTAAACACATTCATATTCATATATATAATATATATATATAATATTATATAATGTCGTGCCGAATATGTAAAACGGGTCAATTTAAAGCAAGAACTCATTTAAAATTAATCCTTTCAAAAAATTTTCTCTTATACGTTTAAAGACATATTTTTTTCATTAATGTTGATGCAAAAATTTATAATTTTGCACCAAAATGAACTTAGAAAACTTACCTAACCTTATTATAACAAGCACAATTTATTTTAGCCTAACCCAACTAAATATATGTTAGATTTGTTTACAATAATTAAATTCTAAACAAACGGAGTGAAATACATTTTTTTCGTTAGGTTCAGAATGATTTTGGCGTAATTATTGCATACACAAATTTTCACTTGTCCTATATGGCAAGAAGAGCATTGCTATTTAAGCCAAGATCGCAAGTTCTGCCTATTCGTACCTAAGAAGGATGGTACTTGGCGCCCAGTGATTGACTTCAGGAAGTTAAATGCGAAAACTATCCCAGATCGCTTCCCACTTCCTGTACTGGGTGATCTTTTACGTAACATCGGAGATAAAGTCTTTTCAACCCTGGATTTGTTACAAGGGTTTTGGCAAGTCCCTCTTCACGAAGACAGCCAAAAGCTAACTGCATTCTCCACGCCTACAGGTCATTATCACTTCCTCCGTATGGCATTTGGATTACGATCCTCCCCTATCACGTTCTCAAGGCTCATGACTAATATCTTTAGAGGTCTCATAGGTAATGCACTTATGGTGTACTTAGATGACGTAATCGTCATGTCTAAAGACGTGGATACACACTTGAAAAGACTTAAATGTAGTATTTGGGTTTAAGCTTGAAGAAGCCAATTTAAAGATCAAACTGTCTAAATGTCAATTTTCAGATCAGAAATTAAGTTTTTTTTGGGCACGTAGTCACTCCTAGAGGGTTACGACTGACCAAAGTAAAGTAACTGCAGTACTAAATTTTCCAACACCCAAAACTGCTGATGCCGTAAGATCCCTTTGTGGGCTTAGCCGGTTTTTATAGATCTTTCATTGCCAATTTTTCTTCCATACCTGCTCCTCTAACTGAGTTTTCTTAAGAAAGATGCTCCTTTTGTTTGGACCTTCCGTCAAGAAAGAGCATTCCAAACTCTTAAAAGAAAAGCTAACATCTGCTCCAATTTTGAAATTTCCAGATTTTTCTAAGCCCTATCTGACAACTGATGCTAGTTCAATTGGCATAGGTGCCGTACTAGCTCAGAAGACCGATGGCAAGTACAACGCAGTTGCATTTGCTAGCCAAGTCCTTACGAAGGGTGAACGTAATTATCAGTAAAATGAGGCAAGAAGCTTTTGCAATAGTATGGTCTTTAAAGCACTTCCGAGACATTATTTATCAGTACTCTGTTCATGTCCTGACAGACCATGCTCCACTGATACCTTTAT